GTTCATAACCTTCCATGTGAAGTGATTGAGAAGGCTTAATTGAGAATTCATGTTAACTTTATACAGCTATTCCAGAGGAAGAGATCTCTTGATTGTGGTAGAATTCTTCCCAAAGTGGCCTCAAATGTTTTTAGTTTCATCTCTAACTTCTGCTGCTAAGTGCTAGTTATTTACAGTAAACAGATATCCAGCTACTGCTATTTATGATAATGGGCCCTTATCTGAGTTTAAAGACCTTATCAACAGGTATTGTAAGCAGGCTGCCAGTCCATATGCCTTCATAAGGAATTCAGGCTGAATGGATGGCCCTGGCATCTGATAATGACCTAAGGCACACTGAGGGAGAAGACCGTTGCTCAGTGAGCTCTGTTGGTGCCCCAAACAGGAGTCAGCTGTGACTGCTCAATATTAATTGGGGCAATAGCTCAAAATAAATCTGTCTCTACTTAAACTTACGGATTCGTAAGATCATCTTGCATCTAGAAATAGTTATCATTGGTTGAATGCCTACCATTTTCCAGGCTCTGTGTTAACGCCTTTGTGTATATTAACACATTAAAATTCTCATAACAATCATGTAGTAATAATAATGACTAACATTTACTAACCATCACTGCATGCCAGGCCATACTGACAGATTTATGTAGTCTCATCTATTTGACTGTTTGACATGGCTATTACTATTATTTTTTTCCTAACAAATGAGGAAACTGGGCTAGGGTCAGGGTAGGAAATGTGAGGCTGTCACATAGTCAATAACTGAGATCTCCCTCCAGGTCTTGTGCTTCCAACCACTACACAAATGGCTTGCTGTAAGGAGATGGACTGATCACTACCATTTTACCAATCAGGGAACTGCATGTACACTGTTCAAGGCCACACTATGGGATAATGGTAAAAAGTGTAAAGAGAACTTTGTTGTGTCTCTCCCCACAAGATTGTTCTTCCTGTTCTACACAGCTCTGATTGTATATGCTCTTCAGTAATTGGCAAACAAAGTTTACACTCTGTTAGAAATTACAGAGTAGGAAAAAATATGGGTTCTGCTCCTATAAATGAAATCATGGCACCTGAATTACGCAAGGTTGAGCTCCAAGATAGGCCAGCAAGTCATTCCCACCTGATCAGCTGAGAAGATCTTCCCTGAAGGCAGGGCTTCATCTTGGCAGAGCCATTAGAAGCATTTCCTTTGGATAACATACTTTTCTTTAAACTGTTCTAAATTTTCTAAATTTTCTACGAAGAACATGCATGTAAATGTTCACAGACAAAACACTAATGCATTCTCATGTTAAAATATTCAACATCACAAAGCCCTTCTCTTAAACTCTCACCCTCTCCTCCTCTACTCCCATCTCCTCTCCAGAGGTATGAATTTTAGTATGAATTCCTATAGACCTGAACTACTCTATATGAAAGTTACTACCCACAGGTTGGAAGTTACTACCCACATGTGGCCATTGAGCACCTGAAATGTCCTAGTTGAGATGTGCTGTTAGCATAAAATATACACCAGATTTTTAAATTTAGTATAAAGGAAGAATGTAAATATCTCATATAATTTTTATATCAATTACACATAGAAATGAGAAATTATAGAGACAGTAAAAAGATCAGTGGTTGCCAGGGATTAAGTGGGGTGGGGAGGGATGAATAGGCAGAACACAGAGGATTTTCAGGGCGGTGAAATTACTCTGTATGATACTATAATGGTGAATATATGTCATTATACATTTGTTCAAACTCATAGAAGGTACAGCACCAAGAGTGAGCCATAATGTAAACTATGGACTTGGGTGAGAACGACATGTTAATGTAGGTTCATCAATTAAAATAAATGGACTGCTCTGATGAGGGATGTTGATCATGGGGAAGATGATGCACGTGTGGGGGCATGGGGTTCATAGGAAGTCTCTACTTCTTGCTCAATTTTGCTGTGCACCTAAAATTGCTCTAAAAATAGTCTTAAGAAAAATGAATATACTGGGTTAAATAAAATACATTATTAAATTAATTTCACCTGTTTCTTTTCATTTTTTAAATGTGGCTGCTAAAAATGTGGCTCACATATTTCTATTAGATAGCACTGCTCTAGAGTCTAGATCATTTTTGGTGTACTTATACATGGATATTTAAGTGTACATATACATGCATATAAAATAACATACATATTTTGGTGCTTTGTAACATAAATATGCATTACTTTTATGCTTGCATTAATTTTTTTAAGTCAAATTTTTAAAGGCAGTGGACATTACATTAATTCTTTTCTTCTTTTCTTTTTCCATTTCTCTTCCTCCTCTTCTTCCTCTTCCTCCACATCTCCCTTTTATACTTAACAACCCACAAAGCCTTAGAGTGAAGAAAGCAAGAATTATTCCTGGTTATACACATGCCGAGGTGAGCATACCTAATATTTGAGTTAAATCAACACAGGCACAGGTTAACTAAAGGGTATCTATTCCCTTGTTGGATAAAAGAAGGAGCTAGTCAATGAAGAAGGCTTCGGCATTATTGAGTCCTAGACAAAAGACCTATAAGATACTAGCAAAAATGACCAGCAATTATTTTCTAAATAACTAGATCCAAATGTTATATTCTTATCACATCATTTCTTTTTCTCAGACATTTTCTACAATAGGCACAATCCCATTACTGTCTGTTGAGGAAAAGCACCTATTGCTTCAATTCGATGAACATTGCCCATAATGTGCCGCATCAGAACACTTCATTTCAGCTACTGAATTCTGCTAGCTGCTGTAAATAAATGCTGATGCGTGTTACCTACATAATTACTACTTTGCTAAATTCTAACTAAAGTCACTTTTAAAATATTTTATAATGCATCTAATTGATTTTATTCTAAGTAAATATTCTAAGTAAACACCTGATAATGTATTTACTTAGATTTTTAATTTTATTCTAAGTAAATACCTGATAATGTCCAGTTCAGTGGATAATGCAAAAGAAATGACCCCAAACAAGCTCCTGCTATCCCCTGCCCCCTGCTTTAAAAAATGGCTAAATATACATAATTTACACTGACTGCATTTGTGTAAGTGATGAACTGGTGGCATGTACACATGCAGCACATTCTTTTGTTGGGCAGGAAGGGTGTTTATTGTGTTCTAGCAAGTCATTAGCACATGCAAAACATTAGCAGCTCTTACTTGGCCTCAGTGCAGAGCCTCCTTGAGGGCAGTGAAGAGAAAAAGAACATTAGCATGAGTCGAGGTGCCCTGATAACTCATAATTTTCATTCTTGTGAGTGCCCCTTGATGTTCTGTCCCATTTGAGTCCTTGTGGTTACATGCTGCCTAGATAAAGAACTGCAACTCAAGTCCTGTTTATTCCTTTGCCTACTCATTGCTGCTTCAAGACAAGATTCCCAAGGGGTAAGATGGAACACCGGACAGGGATCTCTGCAATATTCTTCTAGCTGGTAATTCTCCCAGTCCAACAAACCAAGTTTTCCTTAAGCAGATTCCATGGGAACTGTTTCAAATGCTCCATATTAATAAGACATTTAAAAAATGTTTCTTTTCCCCTCCCCCATTCCTTACCATCTTTTTCCTTTATTCAAGAAAGAATAAAGAGAAACAAAAACTAGAATACAGAGATTTTCAACTTTTTATAAGGTGCTGTATATCACTGTATTTAAGACAATCTTTTGAAATGTAAAAAAAATTCCCCCTGAATTAGGATTGACCTCATCTAAGTAGATACCATCTGCTGTAACAGCCCAACCCTGTCCCCTCAGGTCTTGGCAGCTAAAGGTGAGTAGGGCCCCCCTCCTTTCCCATACCCCTGCCTGAGAAACTGCCAGGAAGCTCTCAGGCAGCATCAGCAGCAGGCAGGAAGTGGGGTGGGAGTGAAGGGTCTCCACCCATTAGCAGCTGCTTACGCAGTAGGCAGGGGAACTTTCCTACAGAAAGATCCAGGTCAGCAGATACTCCAAACCAATTTCTACCACATGCTACCCAGTTGTGGAATTAAATTAAAATGTTAAGAAGAAACCTGATAGCCAATCCCCTTGTTTTCCTCCTACCTTGTGCCTGGCACCCAAAAGAATAAAACAAGAACAGTTGGATTTGGCAGTTGAAAGGGAATTCTTAGGTAACTGGAAGGAAGTGAAGGCAGCACACACCAAGGAATGCTGTCTGCACGAAACGTCATGTACCAATGATGAAATGTCAAGACCCATCATTGTCCAAGCGCTCATTCAGATTCAACCAAAAGACAAGTTTGACAGATTATCCGAATCTTTCAGGGCGGGTGGTGGGTGTAGTGGGGAAAGGAGTGAGGTCATTTTTATAAAAAGACTCAGTTTTTTTTAAAAAAAGCAAAATAATGTTATCACCTCAGTGGTTTAGCTATAGTCCATTCTAGAGCAATTGAAAAGAAGTTTTGCCAGCAGCTGGGAGAATATTTCCGAATAAGTCATTTCAGATTACATTAGAGCTCTAAAATAAAAATGAATAAACAAGTGTTTGTCCATTAGATCTCAGTGCATTTTTGTTAACACTTTATTTGCAGGAGATATTTGATGTTTTCTTATGCTATTTCCTTAACAGTGATTTACTATGGCTTTAATAAGTGGATAAAAGTTGGGTCCATTGTTTCACATGCATACTTAAAAATGAGTTTTTATGGCCAGGCGTGGTGGCTCATGCCTATAATCCCAGCACTGTGGAAGGCCAAGGCAGGTGGATCACCTGAAGTCAGGAGTTCGAGACCAGCCTGACCAACATGGAGAAACCCTGTCTCTACAAAAAATATACAAAATTAGCTGGGCATGGTGATGCATGCCTGTAATCCCAGCTACTTGGGAGGCTGAAGCAGGAGAATAGCTTGAACCCTGGAGGTGGAGGTTGCGGTGAGCCGAGATCGTACCATTGCACTCCAGTCTGGGCAACAAGAGCAAAACTCCATCTCAAAATACATAAATAAGTAAATAAGTTTTACATGCCTTCAACAATAGAAAAACATTAAATGGTTACCTCTGCAAATGTGTTCCGATTTGCTTGCAAGCCAACTTTTACTACCTCAAAAGGGTTAACTACAACGGCTTCTGTTAGTCCAGATCCCAATCCAGCAATGGCGAATGTCTAGAAAAAGTAAATCAATCAATACTTTAAAACAAGTTATCATGTGTATGGGGTTAAACATCCTATTCATTACACTATGCAGCTGAACATTATAAAGAGAATGGAGAAACCTACATAAATGCACCATATTCCATTACTAAACAGCTTTAGTTCTTGATTAGATGCTGACAATTCATGAAGAAGAAATTACAGAAGCCACAAACCACATCCTAACAATTTCAAAATAAAATGTCAAAGCCCCATCAACGACGACTTTTTCCTTCAACAAAAAGCAAGGTTGCTTTACTGATTTAAAGGTGGATACTAAAACATCTGCACATATAACAATTAAGAAAATTTGAATTGTAAAAGGAGAGCTTCATTTTTAAACATCTACTTAAATTCCTTTATTGGGAATATAAGAAATTCAAGGAGCAGAACCACAAATAAACTGTTTCTAAAAAGCTAAATTTCAGGTAACAACATAGCTGGAAACATTTAACCCTATGTTCATATTTTTAGAGTCACTATTCTGGACTATTAACAAACAAACATTATTTTTTATTCATCTTTTCCCTATTTAAAAAAACACTGGCAATTAATGCAGTCTTCTAAACCTAAAAGCTGAGATCAGAAATGGCTAGATGTGCACCCACAGTACCAGCTGCTTGGGAGCTGAAGTGGGAGGATCACTGAGCCTAAGAGTTCAAGGCTGCAGTGAGCTATGATTGAACAACTGTACCCCAGCCTGAACGACAGGGTGAGATCCTGTCTCAAAAAAAAAAAAAAAAAAAAAGAGGAAGAAGAGGAGGAAGAAGAAGAAAAGAAAAGAAAAGAAAGACAAAGACAAAGAAATGACTAGGTTATTCTGAAGGGCTCAAATAAAATCTAGAAAACCTATCAAAAGGTGACTGTATGTCAAGTTCTTGTTCGGTATCTGTTAAGAATTTCTGCAATAGGAAAGAACAATTTCCTAGAATTTACCTCTAGGTAGAATACTTATGTGTTTTCCAGAAAATCTGTATCAAAAATAAACACAACAATTAAAACATACACACACAAGACAGAACAAAATGAAACAAAGCCCCAATCTCCAAAACAGATGCTTGAAAAAAAGTAATTATTTAGTGCTGAACCTCCAATTCCAGGACAAGAGGCAGTACTGTAGACAACAAAGAGAAGAATAAAACCATTGAAGAGTAAATAACAGATAACTCTTGGCAATGGGCTCTAATATCTTCTAAAAAGGAGAGGAAGGAGGGAGAAAGGAATATTTTCTAAAAGAGAGGAAGGAGGGAGAAAGGAATGTTGTGTAACCTTAGAAAGGGAGGCACAAAGGCAGGATCCAGAGGCAGGAGGTCTGGGTTTAGGTCCAATTCTAGCACTTATTGGCTGTGTGACTAGAGCTGTAACACACAGTAGCTTGTGCAGAGACAAAGGTGCCCAACCAAGGATGCTTGGAGGCCAGAATCCAGCTTGCCCCTCACTTGCTAAGAGAAGCCCTGGAGAGGCGTCCGTTGGGAGAAGGGGCACCTTTTCATTATTCACACAAAGGTGCCATGGGTGCTAGTTGTGGCTCTATTGTATAAATCACTGAATCTCTGATGAGCCACAGTTTTCTCATCTGTAAAATGGAGATAATAATAACTAATTTCCCTGCTTATAAAGTTATTTTAAGGCTCAAAATAATGTGTGAAACCATTTCATAGAGTGTAATGCAAACACCATTGGTCTTGTTGCACATAAAAAAGGAAGAACGGGCTGGGGCAATGGCTCACGCCTGTAATCCCAGCACTTTGGGAGGCCAAGTTGGGTGGATCACCTGAGGTCAGAAGTTCAAGACCAGCCTGGCCAACAAAGTGAAACCCCATCTCTACTAAAAATACAAAAATTAACTGGGCTTGGTGGTGCATACCTGTAATCCTCGCTACTAGGGAGGCTGAAGCAGGAGAATCACTGGAACCTGGGAGGCAGAGGTTGCAGTGAGCTAAGATCATGACACTGCACTCTAGCCTGAGCGACAGATTGAGACTCCGTAAAAAAAAAAAAAAAAAAAAAAAAGAGAGAGAGAAAGAAAGAAAGAAAGAAAGAGAGAAAGAAAGAAAGAAATCGCATACAGATTCTAGGAGAGAGAGAGACTCATTGATGATGTTTCCATTTTATTTCCCTTCATTACAGTTTTAAGCATATGTGTATAGGGTAACTGATCAAATATTTTATTCATTTATCTCAGACTTCCATCATGGAAGCCAGAAGTGGAAAAAAAAATACTAGTCCCAAACTCTTTTGACTGGGAAAGCTAAAATCCAGATGTCCAGGTTTTTATTACTTACTATATGCAATCTTCCAAGTAATTCACTTTTTTGTTCTTCTATAAAATTCAGCTACATTTGCTGTCAGAACTAGTGTTCAGCAGTCCCTTGTCAAAATAATTGATCAGATATCAGCAGATCATGTTACATAGGTTGTTCCAGAAACCTACATTTACTGTTGGGTTTCCAGCCTCCTAGGCTTTTCATGTGAGAGCACCAGGGGACACTTAACAGCTGTTTAAATGTCTAGCCATATCAAAAAAAGTAACTGAAATAAATGAGCTCAAGAAAAGAGAAGAACTATACACAGTTGGCATGCATTTGTTTATAGTAGCTGCAGTGACCAAATGCTTTTCTGTTTCAATTCTCAAGAGTCCAAAGACCTACAGTCTCTCACATGGTACCAATGTTTGACACAAGAACAGCCAGCTGGCCCTCTGGAGACCATCTTTTATTGTTTCTCACTAGGAAATTTTTAATTCTCTTTTTGCCAAGCTGTTTCCAAATTTAAGAATGATATTAAGAGAAGATGCCAAAGAATTAAAAGGAAAAAATCCTAGCTAGTTTCAAGATTCATGGTATCACTGCTCCCTCCTCTCTAGGAGGCCATGTCTCCCAGCCACCTTGTATAGGCAAGGACTGGACAAGACATTGCTTCGTCATAACAAAAAGTGACGCTATTAGGTTTCCTAACAGGATCTTTCCTAGAAAAGGGGTATGTATGATTTTTAAAAAATAACAGATACTTCTTCTTGGACAGTCTATTTGAGAATTTGAGAATACAAATATTGTCCATTTTAGTGGGCAAATGAGGGCATTTTCCTAGAGACTGGAGTACATTGCCAATTGGAGGGCCAATGCAGATTTTGTTTTGCTTTTCTTTGCGGACTTGGAAGGAGAAGTTAATGCATTTACTCTCTTGGGGGCTCTTGTTGCACACACATTTGTAGAACCCATTTGGTCAATACAATTAACTCCTGTGAAAAGCAGGAAAGTCACCAAGAAGGAGGGGAATGGCATAGGGAAATGTTCAAATCACCAAGTGAATTTTGTGTGATATATGAGATATGTCATTGTACTATCACAATTCTCCTTAGTTGAGTTGTTTACAGTCATTCCTATAAAAGGCCCTTCAGTCTGCATCTGACCACAGAATGATTTCATCCCAAGGGATCTGAAGTCTTATATTTACTACAGCTGGTGCAAAAGCTGGAAAAGTGACCTGTGTGGCATGTTGACTTTTGCATAGATATATGCAGTATGTATGTAAACATATGCATGTCTTGGTTTAAAAAGAGTCTTTGATAAATGTACTCTTTATTTCATGTTCTTGACCATATCTCATATGGGGCCTTTCCAGACATATCATTATTATCATAAATTCATCACTGGGAGCTATAAAATAGCCAAATTGTGAGTTATTAGGAAGATGGCTTTCAACAAGTAGCTGAACATTGAATAACTTGAATTCATATTTTAGTAGCTGGGCTTGGGAATCAAAAGAGTGTTTGTTTCTAGATTTTGCTTTATGAAATAACACATACATTTAAGTATAATAAATACTCTCACTTACCAATGCTGGTGACAGTGACACATATCCCAGCAATTTCTTATACTGTTCAAAGGTGAAAAACTGTGAAACAAAACCAAACTCACAGATTTATAACAATTTTCCTGCAACAAACTCTTTAATTGACTCAAATTTCTTTAGTAAATCATTATGTTAACCAGCATTTCAAAAAATGATAAACTATCTAATACAGTTTTTAATCCTGTCTCGGGTAGTTGCTATTGGAACTTTCTTTAACATTCACAGTTTCAAATGCAGTTATAATAACCTACAGAAGAGCTGATGAAATCCTTTAGAGCAGTAAATGAACCATACAACTTCCATTTACCATGACCATTTTCAGTTTCCCCAGACATCAATAGACTTCTCTCTTATGGCAGTGATTCAACATTATAGGCCTAGAGACCTGACATCTTTGGTCTCCTATGTTTTCTCTATGAACTGTTTTCCCAGTGAAAGCCCAATTTTCTAACACACTTGTAAAAGACATCCACTTTTCAGCGTTAACTTGCATTTCTATTTTGGTATCTCCCCACTGCTCCATGGAATTGAAAACACTAAATAATTATGAAGATGCCACGACAAACTAGGGAAGAACCCAATGAGGTTATCTAGTCCATCCCCTGCCATAAAGCAAGACTGTCCTCAACCTGAACGAAGAAAGCAAGCTGCTAATTCCTTCCTTCAAAACTGATGGTGATGAAGATGGTGAAGGTATTTTTGGTTTCTTCAGTAGATAATGTTTAGTATAATTTTCCCTGCAAACAAATTTCAGTGGAGGCGAATCTAATCAATTGCTTCATATAATACATTTCCCCCCTTTTTTCTTCCTGTATTCTACTTTTTGAGCAACAACTCTGCTTGAACATGTTTTGCTCCTGGGTAGCACGTTCAGGTAGCTGTCAACACCACTGATAAGGCACGTTTTTAGGTCCTGCTAGAGTCTGATTCTCAAGACCCCAAAAATGGTATGGGTATTATATGGTCCCCAATATTTTCTACTCTATTACTTTATAGCCCAGTAAAATGGGGCAAGAAAGCAAAACCAGATTTCAGAGCCAAAAATACTCTGTTGTTATGAAGAAGTAGCTCCTTATAGATGGCTTCAATGAGTGTTTGGGCAGCCCAAGAATCATTTTACTACCTGATAAATTTTGATTCTTTTCAACACTCAGGAACTACTTTTGTACCATGGTCTTTTAAATGCACTATGAATGTAGCGTTTTCTAGAACAGGGATTCATTCATTCACTCACTTAATAATGTTATTAGAGACCTCCTGTTCTAGGTACTGGGGATGCAACGGTAAACAAAGAGAAACCTCTGCCTACTTGAGCTAACATTCTAGTGGCTAGTGAATGCCCTGAAACTACCCTGGTGTTGAAATAGTACTCAACAGCGACCACCTGGGACCACCGCATTTTTGATGAAACCATTAACCCACTAGAAACCATTAACCATGGAAGGAAAAGTGTTATAATCTTAGGTTTTAAAAATAATTCATTTTTCTTCATTTTTATGATCATCATCATCATCACTTTGAGAATCACGTTGCTGGCATTTTGAAGTCAGCAGTCCTAGAGCTGAATCCGGGTTATGCTGTTTAGCTGTGAAAGCACAGGAAAGCTGCTTAACCTTTCTAACTCTCAAGACCTCAAAACTTACCTTTTAGATTATCATTAAATAAGATAATTTAAGTAAGATTCCCTGACAGGACTGGTACAAGTGAGACTTCTGAAAAATCTTAGTTTTTATTCCCTGTAACTTTGGTAACCTAGGTTACCAAAGGAATCATAGAGGCCTTAAGTATATGAGCACTCCTCTCAATGCCCTGGGGCTGCTGAAGCTTTCCGGTCTGGCTGGTGGGAGCAGGCACTATTCCCAGCTGCATGTGACTGCTAAGCACTGTTCCCTCGAAGCCTTTTGGGTGGTTCTTTCCCAGGCATTGGTAGTTTCCTCCCAGGCATGCACTGGTCAATACTCAGCTGAAAACTTGGAGAGGTCCTTCTACAGATCTCAGTTCTATCTCTGTGCAGCCTGCTCTTCCCTGGTACTCTGTCCTGTGGACTTTGGCTGCCCTGCTCTCCCCTGGCTTTCAGCTCCTACCCAACCCAGGGAGTCCCCTGGGCTCTGCCTCAGTTTCCCCTCCCTGTCCCGGGGCCTGAAAGTATCCCAAGGCAGTAAGCTGTGGCATCACAGGGCTCATTTCATTTGTTTTCCATTTCTCATGTATTTCGAGCCTTCATCATCTGATGTCCAGTGTCTTGAAAACTGTTATTTCATACTGGTCCCTGTTACTCTGTCTCCACCAGGAGTGGAAGTCTTGGCCCTCCAGATACTCTGAATAGTAGATGTGGGAATTTTCTCTCTATGTATATTTCTTTGTTTCTTTAAGTTTTCTTTGTTTCTTTTTATACATGTTTCCTTTATTCATCTAATATCAACTGAACATCTACTATGTGTAGATACTGTAATTGGGATAGGTATACCGTAGTGAACAAATTAGCCTTCATAGTTTATAATCCCTTGTGAATTTAGTTAGCATAAGGAAGTCCTTGAGAAAACTGCACATGGGAAAAGTGGTATTTCTGCATGTGTGAAGCTCAAGACTGGACCCTGAAGCCTGAACCACGGTGCCACCCATCTCTGAGGGATCGGCTGGTCTCTCTGAAGTCTTCATTTCCTTTTGCTAACTACAATACTAACTCTGTCTAATTTGTGAAAGGAGAAGTTACACTTATTTAGCATCAGTAAGTCTTATTATTTTAATGATAAAGCTCATTTCAAAGAATAAAGTACATAAAACTTAAGATTGTCTGTTTCTGATTATGGTAATGATTTTAACTAAAGTGTCAGTACCAAAGAACACACACACACACACACACACACACACACACACATACACCCCACAGTCTCTGAATATTTTTTTTCTGAAGTAAACTTTGATGACATACAATGAAGCAGTTTATGATGTATGAAATCGTTACAATCAGGTGATTGCTTTCCTCACAAATCCTATGATAAATATCTATAAAATGAATGTTTTCATAAATTGTGTTGCAAAACTAGTGCTATCCATCTGGCAAAGATACACTTAACTCCAAGTTATACTTAAAAAGCCAACATACTTACCATATGTCTCAATAATTTTAAGGTAAAATCTACTTGAAACAAGATGTCTGGGACACATACACCATATTCACTTGCCCAAAAGTTCATCTGTTAACCATTGTTCTGGCACAGAGCATTGCTTTTGTAAAATAGAAACTAACTCTGTTTTATAAAGCTCAACTTTTTTTTTTCTGTAAAAGATTGCTCAATGGTGATAAGTCTTAATCTCCTTAAAGTTTAAATTGTCTCCGACACATAATATTACGAAAAAATATTCCAGGAAAAACTCTAATTGTAGTTTACTTTGTTTATACATGTAAATCACTGAACAGATGAATATATTATTCCATGCAGACAAAGCGACTTTCCTTTTGAACAGGAACTCTGCTCTATTTGTTTACTTGGGCAATCTTTTATCAAGTAAAGTCATTTCATAATCCAATTCAGCTCTTTTGTGTACTTTGGTGAACTTATTCCAGATTCTCTACTGTGATCCAGATCCTTATAACAAAATTTGTATTGCTATAAGATCACTATAAAATCACAAAACCTATACCAACAAAGAGGGTGAATTTATAGACAAGGTATGTTCTAAAGCTTTGTTTTCCAAATTCTAGATTTGAATTCAATCCTATTGCCATTTTGACATAATATGAAGGTTGGATGTTCATGTATATATGTGGGTGATTTTATCATAATTTTTAACCCAGTCACCCTCTTGAACTTACTGAGTAAAAGTATATGAACTGTTCCTTCTTGCCTTTCAGGAGTACTGAGAATACAAATTGAGTAATGTATGTGGAAAAAAAAGCCTTATATTGCTTGGAAAGTCAGTCTTTAAGTTTAGGTTATCATTATTATGGAAGGACAAAGCCTTATTTGGTGATATCAGTGGTGCAGGGTGGGGGGTCGGGGGGAGCAATGCCTGCCAGAGTCACTATGATCAAGACTTTTGTCTGAGAGAAGACAGTAGTCAGATTGAGTTCTTTTGCCCCTGGATGTTCTGCCATATCTTCCTGCTCCTCTTCAGATACTGAACTAGCAAGTAGTACACAAACCTCTACAGTTATGTGGTTAAGTAAATGGAAATCAGGGTAGTGGAAGTAATAATTTTTGTAAGAACCAGAATAGAGAATTTTAAAAGAGGAGACTAAGGGGGAAAATGAAGTTGGCATGCAAAATAAATACGTTATATGAGAATCATATATAAAGAAATATGGTATATTAGTTTACTCTGTTCATGAAATGGGAATGATTCAGGGAGAAAGGCTTTTCCTCCTCTCCTCTTTCTTCTTCCCTCCGTCTCTCTTTCTTTAATAATTATTTCTCCAAAGGAAAATTTCTGAGTTGCTTTGAAGAAAGGTCCAAGCTATTTTGTGGTTTGATTACTAGAATTTCATTCACCATGTTGTTTTTTAGAATGGAATGCTTTTACCTGATTAAAAAAATCTACAAATTGATCTACATATTTGAGAGACTGGCCAAGTCTAATTATAATAAAAATTATGCTATAGTTTCTGCATTAAAATTTTTAATGCTTTATATATAATTCATTTTAATGTCTTAGAGCTTGTTGTGCTGAAGCTGTTACTGCACCCTACTTTTTCTTGGTGCAAATGCATGCAATGCTTACCTTCACTGCTCTTTTCGGGGTTTCAGCCAAGATAGGTGGCAGAATTCCCTTGTAAAAACCAAACAACCTGTTTGAGAAATAAAAGATTTCCTATGAGTAAAGAAATTAAGAAACCCGTATTTCTGTCTTTGTTTAGATAAAGCAACTAATCCTAAAGTATTCCGGATCATTCAACATATCACACCAATCATGAAGTCTTCCTTTCATTCTAAATAAAGAAATAAATTCTATGTCTCTTAGAATTATGATATTCAGAAGGTGAATACGTGATACTGAGATGGGAATCCCTTAGATAAGTTGCTAAGCATGACCATTAGTTGTACCTTAACGATGAAGCTGACTTCCTTACTCTAAGGGCTCTTGAGTTTACTTCTCAGTTGTGTGGCAGGTAGCTTCAAGCTATCTACAGTCCTGCATTTCCTCCCTTGTGGTAACCAAACGAGGTTAGGATTATTCCTGAACCCATTAGACAGTACATTTCTGAGGCTAAGGAGGTGATAAAATTTTCAATTTTAGCTTTACTCATACAAGGGAACTAACAAGCTCTGTGGGTATGGTACTAGGACTTCCAGCCCCGTCCTGAATTAGTCATAATTTTTAAGCTTCCTTAATGGAGGTGGAAGAAGGTCACAGAGGGCCGGCTATAGGACTATGTATTGCCAACAGATGAATTGTCAGACTCCCTTGCTGATATGCAAAATCACAGGGCATGAGCCAGTTTTCTTTGCCAATGTTGATGGGCAACATAGTCAGATATTTTTAGAAAAAAAGCAAGAATGAGTGACATATGATCAGATTTACAAGTCACCATTTATTTCTTATTATAGTTTTAGAATTCAAAATTTTAAATTCCTTTGTCTTGGAATCTTCATATATATGCCATATCTTACTTCAAATCTTAAAATATATAAATATAAGAGAATATTATGCATTATTCTCTGAGTAATCACTTTTCCTGATTAGTCCATAAGTGACTACAGATAAGGGCAGAGCTCAACATGTCCCTAATTTAGGATATCCAGCTAACAAGGGGCTGCAGCCTCTCTGATTGACCCCCCAAGCTTCACTCCAACTCCCTTAAACTAGGTCCACTTCTAGCTGTGCTTCTGGGAACAAGAAGTTGAGAATTTATTCAGGTGACCCCATTGTGCCACCCAAACCAACATGGCGAACTCTTGTTCTCCCTCAATTCACTGGCTTATACAGTACCTTTTGGTGAGGGGACTAAAGCACTTGCCTGCTTTACTCAATTCATGGGCTTACACATAAACTTGAGGGCTGTGCACCTTTGGGGTTCTTATCACAAAACCCTTTTTTTTTTTTTTTTTTGAGACGGAGTCTCGCTCTGTCGCCCAGGCTGGAGTGCAGTGGCCGGATCTCAGCTCACTGCAAGCCCCGCCTCCCGGGTTTACGCCATTCTCCTGCCTCAGCCTCCCAAGTAGCTGGGACTACAGGCGCCCGCCACCTCGCCCGGCTAGTTTTTTGTATTTTTTAGTGGAAACGGGGTTTCACCATGTTAGCCAGGATGGTCTCGATCTCCTGACCTCGTGATCCGCCTGTCTCGGCCTCCCAAAGTGCTGGGATTACAGGCTTGAGCCACTGCGCCCGGCCACAAAACCCTTTTTTTAATGTAACCAGGACACAAACATTTGTTAAGCTTATGGATGTCATAAAGAGGAATAAAGGGATCAAATGATTCCCTGATATGGGCTTACTCTGTCCACGATTTTTGACTTAATGGATAGTGCTAGCATTAGGAATAGGAAGTAAATCAGATATGTGATTTGGAGAGCTATGGCAATTCATGAGTTGTCCCCACCCCTTTTCCATTCCAATTTGAACTACTGATGCCTGAAATTCTCACATCAACACAAATTTCTTCTAGCAACTAATAACATTTAAATACTTTTCTCATTTAAATTTCATTATAATCACTATGTGATTTTTGGCATAAAGAGTGACTAAGCATAGGTTGGTTTTCCCAAAACATAAACGTGATTTTCCTGAACAGAAGTTCTATATATATAATGAAAACGGTTATTATTTCTGTTCTTTTTGTTTGATCTTTCCCCATCTGGAAGACTATGCCTGATTATTGTAGGAAAAAAAATAAAGAGAAACACTCACATAAGTAAAGCTTTTAAAACAGAGTGTCCAGATCAACAGAGGAACTTGAAATCCCACACTACAGAGAACAGTTATAGGAAGAACAGTTGCTTCAACTAGAGAAGAATGATCTTAGGGAGAAATCTGGTGAATGTGATGGATCTTTTGAAAGGTGTGTGTGAAGGAAAGATATTACACTTTTCTCTTTGTTTCCAGGTGGTAGAACTTCCAACAGGTGGAAGCAACAAGAAAAGACACATATTTGGCCCAGGTGGAGCTTAACACAATGAAGTACTTCTAATAGTCAGAACTGTCTAAACATAGAATGGGCTCTCCTGAAAAGTGGTGAGTTCCCCTTTGGTATGTGATCAAGCAGTCCGGATGGCCACTTGTCATGAATACCAGTGACTGGGAGGTACATGGAAAATCCATGCATTTGATGACCCTCAAGTCTGGTCTGTTTCAATCCTCACATTCTGTTATTCTGAGAAAAAGTACAAGAAGACATGGGCAAGCACTTCTCTGAAGAGACAGAATCTGCCATACTTTAGACTTTTGCATCAAATCTTACATGGCTTCTCTGGAAGAGGACTAAAGTCTTATAAGTACACAGAAGGTCCTCATTTTAAAAGTGATGGGGGAAAATATTAAAAAGAGGTGTGATGCAGGAGAGAAGAGGCAGCTGGGAGAAGCATAAGGATTTAATATGAAAAGAGCTGGGAGGTCCAGAGCCCTCTGCTTTGTATTGATGATGCTTCATTGATGTGCCCTCCTTCCCTTCTCTCTGCTCAGCTACTTTCATGTGTGATCGTTCCCCTCCTCCCATACCACCATCCTGAGCTTCCAAACTGAGAATGAGCAATTTTAACAAGAAGTTCTCAAAGACAATAGGCAGCCTTTGTTGGTAAATGGAAGCTAGGACTACCTACCTCCTTGCATTGCTTTTACCTTATATCCATGCAATACAGAACATCTATGGAACAGTCAGGTCAGCACCGCTTCTGCTTAGGACAGCCCCATCAAGTTGTTTTAATCACGTTAGTACAATATGATACTACTTATAGGCAGGGGTTGACTGAGCGCCTCACCCAGATGGGTTCAAATGGCATTCTACTTCTTTGCCTGAGTTAATTTGATCCAAGCTAGACCTAGCCTAGGATTTTGGAAATGGAACAGGATCAGTCTTGCTCTGTTTGGTGAAAACTGTAACATAGAAATCTAGGATTTCAATGGCAGTCATGCTTTCAGTCATTTGGAGAAAGTCAATCTACAGTGACAAAAAAGAAAGAAGCCACCATTTAGGGAGGCACAGAAGCAAGAAGGAGAAGCTCTGGTTCTGTGAGTGTGGCCCTGCTTCCAGAATTCTTTAAGCCTAATTACATCTTGGCCTTTCTTGAATATTGGTATTTACCTCTGCCTTTGATTCTATGAGATGCTCAGTAACATTTCCAGTAAATTCTTTTTTACCTAAATAAGTGAGTTGCATTCATTATTTATAACCCAGAGCCCTTGATCCAGAACGTAAGCATCATAGCCCCTCTAGCCAAAGTGGCTGCTGTAGAACCTCCACGCCGTGTCCAATCATAGGAAGAGCTTCACTCTCAGTTAAAATTGGCCCTTGAGCCGACCAGAAGAGTCATATATAAAATGCGGGTAAGAGCATGTAGCTAAGGGCTCAAGCTGATAGCTATTCTTGACTAGATAATTATTGAAAGTTTTCCCAATGCAAAATATTATATGACATTTCTAAAAACCAAAAAGGAGTTGTGATGTTTTATGAAGCAGATACTTTTTTTTTTTCCTGCAAAATAACTGATGTTTATATTCACATGCACTGTCCATTCTGCCTTCATGTGGTTTTGGCTTGCTGTGCAGAGCCTACAACTTACCAGGACCATAATCCAGGAAGTTAAGAGATTGGTGACACCCATTGTTAACATGTGTCATCCCGCTTACGTCACAAGCAGCCAAGAGCTGCTTTCAGTCTACTTGCTGGATGAATGGATTGTGGGATTCTAAACGTTTATGTAGCAGCAAAGGCAGTTCTCTCTGACATGACAACAAAGGCACCACTCTACTCTAAAGTTTTGACTCACATGGAGCCGTTGATACTTCTAAAAGGTGCGAGTCTGATTTTAACTAGCCTATGTAAAAAAGTATTATCTTGTAAGTTTATGGATTTTTGTAAATATTATTGTAAGTAAAAATAGACAAATCTGTTGAAAGTTTAGTATGTAATAGCCTTTGTGTTAAGAATAAAAACATGTAGGTATATGTACACATAGTAATCTCAATCAACTTTCACAACAATTCTTTAAAATATTTATAATTATTTTTCTCATTTTGCTGGTGAGGACTACTGTCATGTCATTGCCAAATAAGATACAGCAACCTAAATCAAGTTCTTTTATGTCCTTGACCACTAGGCTATACAGTATAGCTTTTCTTTTAAAAAAAGAAAAAAACAACTATTTTAATAAAAGCTTTTGAAAAATTATTTATGTTGCAACAATACCTTGTCATTTCTTATTTTAGAAGGAAGCAGAAAACGCCATGAAAAACAGGTCTCTGTTTCAATTTCTATTCAATTCTATTTTAAAGTAATATGAAATACTATATAACTGATAGAACTGGTTTAAGATGAATAAGATCATTTTTGTGAAAATTGTTGGTTGTTTTAGAATGAGAAAAAAATGAACCATAGGATAAACTTTTTCCTCCTCAAGCCAGACTTTTGCCCTTAAGAGGCACACCAGGAGGCTGGGCTCAGTAGCTCACATCTGTAATCCCAGCAGCTCAGGAAGCCGAGGTGGGTGGATCACTTGAGGTCAGGAGTTCGAGACTAGCCTGACTAACATGGTGAAACCCCTTCTCTACTAAAAATACAAAAATTAACCAGGTGTGGTAGTGCATGCATGTAGTCCCAGATACTCGGGAGGCTGAGGCAGGAGAATCACTTGA